TGTTTAGCACTATCAGTGACAGGATCTTTCTAGAAACATTCAGCAGGGTCAATGGTCGTATCGACTTAACTGGGCCACGAGTTTTACCAGGCTTAGCCAGTGGTGTGAGGATGCCTGCTCCTATTGCTTCAATGTGAATGTTTTTCTCGAAAGACTCGTTGAACACACTAGCCAGCTCTTCATGAAGGAGGGGGTTGTTCAGGGCTTTCATGGCCTCGCCAGAAACTTTATCAATACCCACTGCTTTACCAGACTTGAGTTTACTGATGGCTCTCTCTCTATCTCTGCAACGGTGATGGGACTGTTAAGGCTAGATGGGGGGTCAAGGAAGGCAGGAAGTGTAGGCTCATCAGCGTCGTTGAACTCAGCTTTAAAGTACTCCTTAATAATCCTCGCTTTCTCCTCATTAGTACCTGCGATATTCCCAGCAGAGTTGTGGACGGTTAGAGCTGGTCTAACATATCCTTTGGCGAGTATCTTAGAGGCTCCAAAGTATCTCCGGGCGTCGTCTGTGTTGTTTACCTCTTCGACGAGTGTGTCAGCACTGCGGTTGTTGATATCTCTGAGTCTCTTTGTAATCTTACGTCTTAGCTGGTTGATGTTGGTCTTGACATGCTTCCTGTTGGTCGGGAATTTGTTCTGCATATAATTCGCAATCATCAGCTGCTTGCGTTCAAGTGACAGTTCAGCGATTTCAGGATCAGTACTGAAGGATTTGTGCTTTTTTTAGCCAGTTGTTTGGCCATAAGAGGTAGCCTCCCTAGTCTTGGGACATCAGGAATGTCCGAGGAAGAGATTATTGAGGAACATCTATTTTCATTACTGAATAATGATGTATGTCGTGATTTAATGAAGATTCCTCAACCGTATGATGTTAATCGTATTACAAGTGAAGTTCTAAAATATATGAACGACGATAAGGACTCGGCTGCACTATAGTGAAAATTATTTTAATGATAGACTTTTATATTCAGGTTGAATGATATAAGTAACTTCAAATTAGAACCTCAAGTTCTTTTTTTTACGTTATTACAGTAACACCTGTAATGAAAAATTTACCTGGGGACCTCAGGCTATCATGTTCATTAACATAATAGAGATTCGGCGGAATGACAGGCTGAGCGCGGCCCAGTAATGAAAAATTGGCGACAAATTTTTACTTCATTGACACTGTTTTTAATTTTGTAATATAATATATTGACACATTGTTTGAGCGATAACTTTTACATTGTAACATCATTAGACGTGACTCTTTTTAACTTTGTAATATAATATGGTGACAAATTGACTCATTGTTTGAGCGATAACTTTTATGAAATATCATTAGACACTATTTTTATTTTTGTAATATAATATCGTGACACAGTGACTCTTTTTTTAAGCGATAACTTTTATGAAACATCATTAGAATTTTATTCAGTTATTAATTCATTACGATTAGTATCACTAGATTTAATGATATAGATTATCATAGCCCTATTTTCAGTGTTGACACTGTGAATGGAATCTGTTGTTTTTTTTTAATTATTTATGAGTCAGCTGTTTATATTTCTATGAATTATAATTTATTATTGTAATGATCAAATGTATCAATTATTTATCGGTTGTACCTATGTTATATGACTGTTTTACTCTTGTCATGGGCATTCCTATATTCCTACATGTAAGACTAATGAACAAAAATACCAACGCATGACCTAAAAGTAAACTAGTCTAGAATATTCACTCCATTGCAATTTCAACCCAAATTTGAATTTATGTTAAAAAAGTTAAACTTTCTAAGCCTGAATTTTGAAATTTAACATTAATTAGTTTAACTTTTTTAACTTTTTTTAACGTGGACCCCCCCCCTAAGTTAGTTATGTTGCATAAAGTGAAGTAAGTAAGTATAATCGATTTTGCTCTCTCATCATATCTTTGTCTTTATGTAATTTTTATTTTAGCTTGCTTAACTTTTGGCATTATCGTCACTATCATGGAACTCGTTGACAAGGTACTGTAGTTCAATTAGCTCTTATAAATTCGGGTTTTGATATTTTCTATAAATCAATATTTGTTGATTTTCTGCCGTCTCATACCAACGTTATTGGATGCTCTCTAACCTTCTAGTAGTATAACAGCAGCTAGATTATTATAGTCCGGATCAAAGCCTCAATTCCTAGACTAGAGAGGGTGTCAAAAAACATTGATTTCAAATACATACTGTACAATACATAATGTACAGTGTAAATAAGTAACTATTGTTCTGTCTTCCCTATTAGAGTTCTAAACCCTTCCTCTCCCGATGTACACAATGTACATTGTACAGGGTGTTATCTCTTCTTTACAATAAAGCAGTTCTGATCCTACTTTTGGGGAATTTCTGAAACATCTGGAATTCTGGATGCCTGATCAGTACCAACGGTCAATTCGCAATTTTTGTCATCCGCGTCCGTTGGTGACTAGATATGGAAAATGACGATTCTGCTATTTAAAATTCTATGATATTCGCTACTTCCTTACCATTCAATATCATTATATTTGAGGAATCGGTTTAACTATTAAATGTAGTTAATAGTTATTTATTGTAAACGACAATAAATGTCTCGTTTGTCGAGTTATTTCGTTCTAAGTCTAAATATTTTAAATATTAAATCTGGAGCCGCCATTATTTCCCCGAACACGACATGTTGTATTGTCTCCATTTTTGTCTGGCATCATTTTAAAATTACCATCACGAAGTAATGGAATCGGCATCAACCGTGACATATAATGTTTGACTATTCAAAATATTCATCAACTTGCAGACGACTAAAAGAATGCCACATTTACCCTGTAGCTGTCGTTAAACTCGCTAACTCTTCAAGGTACCTTTGTGCATACACGGAGTGTTGCCATTTTGCACTTTTTCAATTTTCATGGCGCCACTCGAATATATGTAACATTGTAAACAATAAACATGTACATTGTACAAACTCCTATGTTGTTCGATACAATGCACCAAACTGTGATGTTGGCAACATAACAGATGAATATACTGATTCACTGCAAGTTATGCTGGAAAAGCGTATGATATATAAACATTATCCAAAATACACGGAATCTTTGCTTTGATCATGAGAAATTATTTCTGGATTCCGCACTTAATGCTCATATTCAAGAAATATTTTCCACATAATATTAACATATTAATAATATATATTATGAGCATAATTTTTTATCATTCCGTTCACGTTGACATCTTCAGGTCCCTTTGTCTTGCTTCTACTGTGCAATGTGCATATTTTGTTTGTTCTGTCTCTTCTTATTACTCCGAGTAGATAGTCAATTGTTTGGGAATTGTTAGGTTGATATTTCATTCTTTCTTCAAAGAATGTTCATTGTTCAGTTAATTCAAGTTCATTAAAGTTCTTCGTTGTTGGCACGACGAAATAAACCGCCAGAACCCGTATGTTAATGTACTGTCTTGAAATGGTTCTTCTCTTTGTTGTATCTTGTTGTTGTGGGTATTGTGAGGAACCTTGCGTCAAGACTTTTGAATACTTTGCATTAAGAATCCTGCGAGCTGACTCACATCTTAACTTGAAATATTCCACAATAATGAATGGTAAAAAAGATCTTACTTTGCGAAACCTGCATTTCCGGCAACCTCTCAAAACGGAATGTCGCAGAAATATGGCGAGAAAACCTATTGGTGTAGACTAACTAATGTTACAGAACTAGACAATTTTAATTACTGTCTAGTCCTGTAGTGTATACTGTATACCTACTATACAACTTACAAATTTAATAACAATCTAAGTACAGTGCAATTAATCAATTAAAAAGTAATTACGTGATATTATATATGAATATGTTAAATGTGTTAAATGTGTTAAAATTAGATACCACAATAAGCACGGAATACAAACCCCTCATGAGATGAAGCCAATAGTGCTGTCTGTAAGTTGCTATGCAATATGCATGTATCACATACACTTTATGTGAAGTGTTGTTGGTTACAGCTGATGATAAACGGTCCCAACTCTCACAACTAATACGTCTCTGGTCTCTAAATGTACCATTATAATATATAATATGTACGCCAACAGATCAATTTCTGGGGAACTGTGTAGTCGATATATTATAGCAGAGGCAACATTTAAGTGTGGCAAAAACAAATAGAGGCTCAACTATTCATCAGCAACAATTTATACAGCCGAGGAAGTCTTTCGATAAAAGGTTTCGGTCAGAAGTTATTTACATGGGTGGTCAGATCAAAGCAAAAGTAATATGCCAGTCTAGCCGAAACTATTAACGGACTATCAACTTATTTTTAACTCATTTGCTAGCTTGGAAGTTGAAGCATCATGAGATATTGGAATAGCTCTTACATTTGATACGAATCAAGTACAACTAAGATTCAGAGAATTGGAAACCGTTAAGTGTGTAATATTCTTGGATACTGGGTTTTTGTGGGATTGACGCTTTTTACCCTAGGGCCTAGACCATGTTCCTTTCGTCGAATGAAGGTGTTCGATTCGGTGCAGGACTTCTGAGAAACCGGCTAAAATGTTTACATTAATTACTTGGTTAAAAACCACTCATGGCTGCTATGTCATTATGAGTCTTTTTCGGAAATAGCAGTATCGCCAGGTATCGCCTCATCGAGGATGCCTTTTGGCGTGGTTATTGGCCATTGTGATTTACGATTTAAAGCAGATTTATAGGTGATTCATGATTATAAGGTGATAATTAGGTGATCCTCAAATGTAGAAAAATCATTTAGACAAGTCATTTAGACGGTATACTAGACAGGTCTAAATATTTGCATTGCGATTTGCGCATCATTTAATTCAAGGATAAAAGCCTTCACTTGTTATTTAATTTAATTGATTTATCTCTAGTACAATTGCCTAGGTTGTCCAGGAGATTTGCAACATACGTGCTGAATGCAGAGAACCAGGTTACTAGATGGTTACTAGGTTACTAGGGTTACTAGGTTACTAGCAGGTTACTAGGTTACTAATCTAATTCCCCAGGTTGTCCACGAGATTCGCAACATACGTGCTGAATGCAGAGAACGGCGACGAAGCTCAAAAGTGGCTCTCGGGGATAGAAAACCTGAAACACACTTTTTTATCCGACTTCAGTAACGGAGATGGTTGAGAGGTTAAATTTTTAGTTGTAAGTTTTATAGATCAATATTAAATTACTGGACATTCGTCAAACAGTTGATTTTATTTCAGAATTTGTTTGCAGTCTATTTCTGCACGATTTCATAACAACATGTCAGACCATAGTTATTTTATCGCTGAACTTGCTACTTAATAATCGTTTATACTGTATGTAAGCTTTTTAGTTTTAATTTCAGACTAAGTTATACATAGATTAGACTAACTTGGGAATAGAATTTGAAATTTTCACGATTTCTAATAATATCAATTAATTAATCAATGTACTCATGTTTTCGTCATATTAAATAGTAACATTGCATTTTGCATTATGATCTTGACTTCAGCTATGCTGAGCAGATGATGTCTGTCGGTTTGTACTATCGGTTTGTCTGTCGGTTTGTGCGTTGATGTTCCATAAAGATACAGAAAATGTTACCTCATGTACAGCATTTCATTTCACAATTTAAATTAAAGCAATTTTACACGCAGTAACTGTATTATAATCACACTAATAACTTTTAAAATGTAAATGGACTTTAAATATATTATATAAGTACACATCATATTGTTTTCAAAATTCATTCCATAAATTTGCAATTACAATTATTTACATGCATGGCATCCGAAGCATGGTATTTTAATTATGTTAATACTTATTACTGAATTTATAGAATATTGATATTTATTAATTTTCAGATAGCGTATTTGCAGAAATTAACAGTTGTTATTGTTTTAATCTCTAGCTCTTTCAATTAGGGTAATCGATAATTTGAGTTAAAATTCGTTGAGATAACGACATATATCTGGGAATTATTTAGAACTGGCCGGGATTTGAACTGTTAACATTATAGAATTTTAGCGGGGCAGTCCTACTCATAGATGAACAATTAAAACCATAATTAAATATACGGCTATATTTGAGGTATGACCGCGGAAAATACCATTTACTATTTCCGACATATTAACCCTAGGTTTATATCGCCATTTTACTGATTCGTTTAAGATAAATTTAATTTTAATTGATTAAAAAGGTAAAGGATTAAGGAAGTTCCTGGGGTTTTCATTATTTTTCAAAGTCAGAAACTGATGGTTTCATAATCTTGTGTCGATGGTTTTTACTTATAAATTGTTAACGAATAAATAAATTTCGAGCACTATACTGTAAGGAATACTTATAATTTTAATTTTTAACATATTAATGCATACTTAAAATTAATTTGAATACTTTATATTTTAATCACTATCATTTCAGAGGACTTCATCTTTTTTGATTAATGTAATTCAGTTTAATTCATCTAAACGGGCAACACTTATTGACATTAATCACAACTTATGTTTGATATAAGTTTAAACTAATCACTATTTAATTCAGTTCACTATATTTTAATGCAGTTAATCACTCAATTTACCAGTTTAATAATATTTATGTTACATATGATTTAAAATATTTGATTTCCGATAACTATACATATTACAATTAATAGAATGATTATTTGATAACAATAAATTGATTTTAACGGAAAATGAAATTCCACCATGCAATTTAATTTGATTTGTTATTATAGATGTGTTACCGTACAGTTATATTTTGCCTAAATTTCTTAGTTTTATTGTGTCATCATGGCATGCAACTTTTTGTTAAATTTCTCACTCGATCAATTATTTGATAATTTGATAATCAACCATCAGATAATCTATCAAAACGATTGATTTAATCACCAACCAATTTCAGCACTTATTAATCCTAAACAATCACTAAATCACTAAATAGGTTTAATTAAGTAATTGATTATACTAAATAATTAACTAATTAGGTTATGGTAGACCAAGACATACAGAGTTTACATCTTCTGTACCTAACACACAACCAGAAAGCTAGCTACTCCCAACTATGCCAGTACTTCTCCGCTAAGCTACGCTCGGCCAGCTTCACGGACGGTCAGTATCCAGTTACCACTCTATCCAGTAACCACTCTATCCAGTAACCACTCTATCCAGTAACCACTCTATCCAGTAACCACTCTATCCAGTAACCACTCTATCCAGTAACCACTCTATCCAGTAACCACTCTATCCAGTAACCACTCTATCCAGTAACCACTCTATTCAGTAACCAATCTATCCAGTAACCACTCTATCCAGTAACCACTCTATCCAGTAACCAATCTATCCAGTAACCACTCTATCCAGTAACCACTCTATCCAGTAACCACTCTATCCAGTAACCACTCTATCCAGTAACCACTCTATCCAGTAACCACTCTATTCAGTAACCACTCTATCCAGTAACCACTCTATCCAGTAACCACTCTAACCAGTAACCACTCTATCCAGTAACCACTCTATCCAGTACCCTTTAGAGTCCTTTTATATTTTATCAGTTTTTTTCCAAGGTGTTCCAAAATTTTATATTATCCGTTATCCGTGCGGTACCCCCCGGCCCCCTTACCCCCTCCCCCCTCCCTCCCCCCAGATTAGAAGTTAAATAACGGTTACTCTTACTTTCAGATGATATCAAACACTTGCTGACCATTAAGACGAAGATGTCGTATGTAGTGTACGCCTGTAAAATGCACACTTTGACTGACGCTGATACCATACTTGACAAACTCAGTAGGTTCAGAATTTACATAAAATTTCGCATTATTCGTGCATATTTTACATAATTATTCGCATATTTTATGAAATGAAATGAGGTATTTACAGCTCACTCGTATGATTAACACAAGGAAGGTGGTTAACCATGTCAGAGCGGCTGGCTTGAGTGTGGTGTGAGCGAAAGTGTGAAAGTGAACAAATGTGCTAATAAAGTGAACAAATGTGCTACGTAATATTATTGTTAAGCAATAATTCGTATTGGATCAATAAAGTCATTTCTTTTGAATCCACCTTAAGTATATATATACTTGTATATAAGTACGATGGTAAACAGAAATTTTAGATCTGACTTTAATTAATTGTCTAAACTATCGATCTCTTGGATAAAAATTAATATAATTACTAATCAATAATAATCAATAATAATTAATTACTTATCAACTAATTAAAATCAGACGAGCATTTCAACAAGAAAACGTCGTGGTCCGAAAGTGAAGCTGAGTTACAGTTTCTAGTGAACCATTTTCAAGATAAGCTCAAGTATACCAGCTTCTCCTGGATGATAAGTGAGGAACGAAAGAAATATTCCCACATCGTAAGTTTATTAATAAATTAAGTTGATTACCGTAATAAATTAAGTTAATTTATAAATTAAGTTAATTAATAAATTAAGTTAATGTTTGATTTATTATTTTACAATAACAGCAGCAAATGTCAAATTTTTACTAGTTGTATTTGACACAGCTCAGGACTATCAAGTGTACAGCTATGAGCTTGAGTGTGGCCATTGCTAACAATTTACACTACATAGCCTGTTGAAGCCTTTACAGCCAGTCCTTGTTCTGTTTTCGGAGAAAATTTTACGTCACGTCTCCACTTATATATATTCAAGTCTCTTAGTCAACTTTATTTCGCACCCCTGAATCCAATGATCATGACGCAAGGAAGTGTGAAAATTGTTTGGTATTTAGAAATTTCGAGTTTCGACTCCTTTGAATTGTAGTCCCTGAACAACACAGAGAAAAGGTTTAACTTGATACCATGACGTAAGGTGAACAGTGTGGTGTGAATTATCATCTTTGGACTAGGAGAGGCCATTTTAAGGGACTTTCTTTTGATTGAAACCTAACTAATTGAGTTGTTAAGTTTTCAAATTTGGAAATAGAATTTTTCCTTAAGACTTTCTGCAGTTAAATTTGGACCGAAACCAACTAGAACTTTCCTGGAACGTTATTAATCGTTTCTTTAACCGGAGGATTTATTTTCAATTCAATTTACTTTAGAGATCGTTAACATATTATTATATGCCAGCTTTAAGTTTGGAAAAGCTTTGTAACCTTTACACAATTGGTATTTTTAAAGTGGCTTACGTCAGAGAAGGGGCTCTGAAAATGTGAAAAATCTGATGTACGTCATATTATATCCCTCATTATTCCAGATTCTTTATGATTAGATATTATTATTCTTTATGATTAGATATTATGTTCAGCACGATATGGAGGCAGGCCCGGTGAAAGATTTACAAGATCTGACCATTTCCATGGACTACATTGACCACGTTAGACTTGCGAAATACCGGCAAAGCTGTGTCATTCAACAACCTGACGTAAGTGGTAATTATATGAACTCATGAAATTACCATTTCTGTTATACCCCCTATTCTGTGGATAGCGGAATGCTTGATACCCAACGGAAGCATTTAACACGAACAAAATTCCATTTTTTTCTCCAGTGGGCGTTTCCAAGCGCTAACGTAAATAGATTATTCTATTTATAATATGTCATGATTTTAAAATTTCGGCCACCAAATGATAGAATCATAGAAGAGGAGGCAGTTGTAGTAGTATTTTTTAATTTAATGAATTGCTAAGTAGGTAATGACCTTTTTAATTTAACCTTTGTGTCATGCCTTCATGCGTTTCAAAATTTCGACCACTAAATGATAGAACGGTACTATCGATACCGTGAGAAATCTAAAAAGCGGTATCCGTTCTCTCCCCGTATAAATTTGCATCGGCTATTGGTTGGCTGTAAAGAAATAAAGAAAAATTTGAATTGTAAAGAACTTGTGAGCTAGTCATGTGGACGACTCATTAGATATGTCCGAGAGAGAGAGGGCTTCGGGACCTCTTCTAAGTGGCTGTCGAGACAATTACCGCGGTTAGAGATCGGTAAATATTATTTATTATTAAGTACAAACACTTTGTGTTTATGCTTCAGGGAGGATCACGGTGAATGATTGTGATTTAAGTGGGTTCCAAAACAATTACCACTATTAGAGATCGGTAAATATTATTCAATTATATTTCAATCACTTTGTGTTTATGCTCCAGGGAGGTTCACGGTGAATGGTTATAATTTATTTAAATGGGTTCCAGGTACTTGGCGAGCCTTTTTTCTAAGAAATTCTTTATTGGCTCAGTTGAGCGGTAATATATAAGTTCAGGATGGTAGTAGTTTTAACAGTACGGCTGCGATGACTGTAACTGAGGCTCTGAGGTGCTATTATTGTTACCTGCTCGTCATATTTTCACTCCGCAAGTATTGTCCCTGGATTACTACTTTTCCAAAACCAGCTGGCACTTAATTAAAGCGTATCATTTTGACTCATGTCACTTTTAACACCATCCTCCACCATTCACTCTTATTTCTCCGGCAACCTTCCCCAGGGTTGCCACACCCCAGAGGTCTAGGTAGGCAAAGCATCTCAATGCTATCCTCTCGTGGGCTATCATGGCCCAGTCTCTCTTTAAAAAAAAGAAAAAAAAGGGGTCTGGAGGGTTTTTAGAGGTAATTAGAGGTAATTAGATGTAATTAGAGGTAATTAGAAGTAATGTTAGTGGATTATAAAAAATTGGTATTTAACGGTAGATAGAAGAGGAGGCAGTTGTAGTAATATTTTTTAATTTAATTAATTGCTAAGTTAGTAATGACCGTTTTTAATTTAACCTTTGTTCAGTGCTTAAGTTATAACTGCAAGTCCATCAGCTATCATGGGGTCTCTTTTACCGGTCCTTCAATCTGCTCAGCAAAGCAAGCAAGATAGAATTATCAAGTTGTATCTGTTCGTGACCATGCTACTTTAATATTAAGCGCTTCTCCCTGAAAACCACTATGAATTCTTGATTCGAACAAGGAGTTTGTTCGAGTCTGTCACGAATTCATTTTGGTTCTCGGGGACTTCGTAATTGTCCAACTTATTAGCATTCCAGTGATTTTATAAAATATCCTGGCCTCACTGTTTGCAATCACTTGAATTTTGTAGCTTTAATTTGGTAGGTGTTTCACTAAGTAAATCCTTTGTCTTTTAATTCGTTAGCCAATGTCTTCGATTTTCCCACATCCTAGCACATTGCTATAATATATTATTATGATCCTGTACCTATGTGGCAAGTTCGCTCCCTAAAAAAACAAATAATCATCGATTACCTCTAAATAAATACCTGCCATCTCTTGATAACTTTCTCACGTACAATGTTAAACTATTTCCTTTAAAATTTCCTGAAGGTGAGTCTGATTATAGCGGATCTGTAAAGTTCGATCCAGTATCCATTGCTCTTTCCGGTGTACGTCATAGGCAAAGATTAATGGCGTCGTCTTTTTTCAAAACGTTTTATGTTTACCCATTGACATTACACTACAATATTACAACATTACAACATTACAACAACAACAAGAAGATAAATTCATGTGTTGTAAAAGCACCGCGTGGAGAAGTGGAATTTGGTAATCTAGTTCGGTCACCAAGTAGTCGGAAGAAACACCATCTTGCTTGAAGAATGAACATAGCTCTCTCAAACTTTCTTTTTATTTTTAAGCTCGCACACTCATCATTGGTATGATGATTCGCCGATTTGTGTTTCCCCTTAGAACTTTAGAATGATAAAAAACATTCGGGTCCAATTACTCTAACTTGACAGTCTATTATCCTGGGTTCCCTTTTACGCATAATAATTTTTACTGAGATCAAGGGTGTTTCCTGGAACATTCCTGGATCGGCGGAATGTCTGGTATGTGAAATTTTGGCTCCGAAATATTTGTGTACGTTGTATCAGGCAAAATGATACTAGGTGATAGATAAACTTCGTATTGTTTTTGTTGCTAGTTGTTTAATCAGTACTAGTGTTGTTAGTTCTTAGTTTTGTCGTTAACGCTTTAACATCCCAGGTAGAATTCTCCCACGAGCTAAGCTCGGTCCAAGAGAAGTTTGACATGTGTTACGACGCAATCAGCCAGCACCTCAACAATCTCCGTCACCACATCTACCGAGTAGACAGGGACAGCAGTGGCATGCTCAGAGTCATGAGGTCACTGTACGATATCACCGAGAGGAACGTAGAACAAGAGGTATTTTCACTGTTGTTATTAACCAAGACAGCTGTTATTAATTAACCGGTCATTGAATGGTTTTTATTTAAATGTGATTAATATAGTACAGAAAACTTTTATTTGCTTATTATAAAGATATTGTAGATCCCTCGTCGTAAGGTTGATTCTATTACTCTGTTAGATTACTGTCTGATAATGTATTAATACTGTCTAACACTGTGTTAATCGTATTAAGTTTAGAGCTGAGAATTAGTTTTGTCTCAAAATATAGAAAATAAATTATAAAAATTAAACGGATCGTGTCTCGTATACCTCATTGAATGTCAGAGCTCACTAAGTTTGTTGCCAGTATTATTCTTCAAGTTAGTTACGTTTCAGTCAAATTTGTTTTGTTTCAAAACTAAGCAGATAAATTTTCAAAATTTGACAAATCATGTATCGTATGCCTCATTGAATTTCGAAGTTCACAAAATTAAGCAGATAGATTTACAAAATTTTACAAATCATTTTTCCAATGGCTCTTAGAATTCTTTCTTCATCGAATCTGTTGCTCGAATTACACTTGAAGCTGGTTATGTTTCCCTCGAATTAGTTTTGTCTCAAAGTTAAGCGTCAGATTTTCAAAATTTAACGAATGAAGGTTTGAATGCCTCTTTGCATTTCGTTGTTCACTGAATTTGTTGCTCGCTGTAAATGATCTAATAACTTCATAATTAAATACCTAAATAATCAAACAAATTATTGACTAATCAACTTAATATCTAAAAAATTCTGAATTATTTTCTAATTAGTAGTAAATCTGTTCTTGCCGCAACTCTGATTACATAATATTTCAATGCTTGTCGTCCAACAAACGTCCAACAAAACCTTCAAAGCTTGCCTTTACAAGACCATGAGAGAACCTACTATAAACACTGACTCTACAATAGCAACATGCTCAATAGTAGTTAATCGAATTGCCTGACGTCAGTGTTGTACAGTAATGTAGTTGTAAATACTGTGGTCACCAATATTATGTGGAAACCGGTCTCCGTGGCACTTAACCCGGCTTTTACAGGATTCAATCCCAGCTTATATAGAAATATTGGCTTGTAATGGAATAGTATTAACTTATAGTAGCATAGTATTAACTTACAGTGTTACCAAATTAATTGTCAGCATTTGGGCAATATTCTCCTGGTACCGCGACCGTACCTACTTTTTTTACAGGATTCGCTTTTAACTTATATAATAGACTTATAAACTTTTTTTCTATTTTCATTTCATTTCAATAGACTTATAGCAGTATATAATTAACCTGTTATATATTGATACCGTATTAACACTCTGGTGACTTGTATTAACTACCCTGGTATCTGACCTACATTTGCCTTGGTATCTGACCTACATTTGCCTTGGTATCTGACCTACATTACCCTGGTATCTGACCTACATTAACCCTGGTATCTGACATACTTTCCCCTTTCAGATTGACAAGTGCAGATTACGAACCGACTACATCCTGTTCTGCCTGCGGCAATGGCGCTCCATGTCACAGGAGATAAAGCACATCTTCAACAACAACCCAACCATGATGGTACGTACAAACACTCTTATTACCACACACACGCTGTTAATGGTATAATTCATTCCTCAATACACAGTCCGTAATGCGACTTAGTTTGCTATATATTTGTTTTTAATTAGCCACAATTCGTTTCCCCAGCTTGATCAAGTTTTATGAGCTGGCGGCTGTTGTGTTATACTGAGCAGTACCTGTTAGAGTACTGTTAGAGCACTGTTAGAGTACTGTTAGAGTACTGTTAGAGTACTGTTAGAGTACTGTTAGAGTACTGTTAGAGTACTGCTAGAGTACTGTTAGAGTACTGTTAGAGTACTGTTAGAGTACTGTTAGAGTACTGTTAGAGTACTGTTAGAGTACTGTTAGAGTACTGTTAGAGTACTGTTAGAGTACTGTTAGAGTACTGTTAGAGAACTGTTAGAGTACTGTTAGAGTACTGTTAGAGTACTGTTAGAGTACTGTTAGAGTACTGTTAGAGTACTGTTAGAGTACTGTTAGAGTACTGTTAGAGTACTGTTAGAGTACTGTTAGAGTACTGTTAGAGTACTGTTAGAGTACTGTTAGAGTACCTGTTAGAGTACTGTTAGAGTACTGTTAGAGTACTGTTAGAGTACTGTTAGAGTACTGTTAGAGTACTGTTAGAGTACTGTTAGAGTACTGTTAGAGTACTGTTAGAGTACTGTTAGAGTACCTGTTAGAGTACTGTTAGAGTACTGTTAGAGTACTGTTAGAGTACTGTTAGAGTACTGTTAGAGTACTGTTAGAGTACTGTTAGAGTACTGTTAGAGTACCTGTTAGAGTACTGTTAGAGTACTGTTAGAGTACCTGTTAGAGCACTGTTAGAGTACCTGTTAGAGTACTGTTAGAGTACTGTTAGAGTACTGTTAGAGTACTGTTAGAGTACTGTTAGAGTACTGTTAGAGTACTGTTAGAGTACTGTTAGAGTACTGTTAGAGTACTGTTAGAGTACCTGTTAGAGTACTGTTAGAGTACTGTTAGAGTACCTGTTAGAGCACTGTTAGAGTACCTGTTAGAGTACTGTTAGAGTACTGTTAGAGTACTGTTAGAGTACTGTTAGAGTACTGTTAGAGTACTGTTAGAGTACTGTTAGAGTACCTGTTAGAGCACTGTTAGAGCACTGTTAGAGTACTGTTAGAGTACTGTTAGAGTACTGTTAGAGTACTGTTAGAGTACCTGTTAGAGCACTGTTAGAGTACCTGTTAGAGTACTGTTAGAGTACTGTTAGAGTACTGTTAGAGTACTGTTAGAATACTGTTAGAGTACTGTTAGAGTACCTGTTAGAGAACTGTTAGAGTACTGTTAGAGTACTGTTAGAGTACTGTTAGAGTACCTGTTAGAGTACTGTTAGAGTACCTGTTAGAGCACTGTTAGAGTACTGTTAGAGTACTGTTAGAGTACTGTTAGAGTACCTGTTAGAGCACTGTTAGAGTACTGTAAGAGTACTGCTAGAGCACTGTTAGAGTACTGCTATAGTACTGTTAGAGTACTGTTAGAGTACTGTTAGAGCACTAATAGAGTACTGCTATAGTACTGTTAGAGTACCTGTTAGAGTACTGTTAGAGTACTGTTAGAGTACCTGTTAGAGTACTGTTAGAGTACTGTTAGAGTACCTGTTAGAGTACCTGTTAGAGTACTGTTAGAGTACTGTTAGAGTACTGTTAGAGTACTGTTAGAGTACCTGTTAGAGTACTGTTAGAGTACTGTTTAAGTACTGTTAGAGTACTGTTAGAGTACTGTTAGAGTACTGTTAGAGCACTGTTAGAGTACTGTTAGAGTTCTGTTAGAGTACTGTTAGAGTACTGTTAGAGTACTGTTAGAGTACTGTTAGAGTACTGTTAGAGTACTGTTAGAGTACTGTTAGAGTACCTGTTAGAGTACTGTTAGAGTACTGTTAGAGTACTGTTAGAGTACTGTTAGAGTACTGTTAGAGTACTGTTAGAGTACTGTTAGAGTACTGTTAGAGTACTGTTAGAGTACTGTTAGAGTACCTGTTAGAGTACTGTTAGAGTACTGTTAGAGTACTGTTAGAGTACTGTTAGAGTACTGTTAGAGTACTGTTAGAGTACTGTTAGAGTACTGTTAGAGTACCTGTTAGAGTACTGTTAGAGTACTGTTAGAGTACCTGTTAGAGCACTGTTAGAGTACCTGTTAGAGTACTGTTAGAGTACTGTTAGAGTACTGTTAGAGTACTGTTAGAGTACTGTTAGAGTACTGTTAGAGTACTGTTAGAGTACTGTTAGAGTACTGTTAGAGTACTGTTAGAGTACCTGTTAGAGTACTGTTAGAGTACTGTTAGAGTACCTGTTAGAGCACTGTTAGAGTACCTGTTAGAGTACTGTTAGAGTACTGTTAGAGTACTGTTAGAGTACTGTTAGAGTACTGTTAGAGTACTGTTAGAGTACTGTTAGAGTACCTGTTAGAGCACTGTTAGAGCACTGTTAGAGTACTGTTAGAGTACTGTTAGAGTACTGTTAGAGTACTGTTAGAGTACCTGTTAGAGCACTGTTAGAGTACCTGTTAGAGTACTGTTAGAGTACTGTTAGAGTACTGTTAGAGTACTGTTAGAATACTGTTAGAGTACTGTTAGAGTACCTGTTAGAGAACTGTTAGAGTACTGTTAGAGTACTGTTAGAGTACTGTTAGAGTACCTGTTAGAGTACTGTTAGAGTACCTGTTAGAGCACTGTTAGAGTACTGTTAGAGTACTGCTAGAGCACTGTTAGAGTACTGTTAGAGTACCTGTTAGAGCACTGTTAGAGTACTGTAAGAGTACTGCTAGAGCACTGTTAGAGTACTGCTATAGTACTGTTAGAGTACTGTTAGAGTACTGTTAGAGCACTAATAGAGTACTGCTATAGTACTGTTAGAGTACCTGTTAGAGTACTGTTAGAGTACTGTTAGAGTACCTGTTAGAGTACTGTTAGAGTACTGTTAGAGTACCTGTTAGAGTACCTGTTAGAGTACTGTTAGAGTACTGTTAGAGTACTGTTAGAGTACTGTTAGAGTACCTGTTAGAGTACTGTTAGAGTACTGTTTAAGTACTGTTAGAGTACTGTTAGAGTACTGTTAGAGTACTGTTAGAGCACTGTTAGAGTACTGTTAGAGTTCTGTTAGAGTACTGTTAGAGTACTGTTAGAGTACCTGTTAGAGTACTGTTAGAGTACTGTTAGAGTACTGTTAGAGTACTGTTAGAGTACTGTTAGAGTACTGTTAGAGCACGGTTAGAGTCCTGTTAGAGTACTGTTAGAGTACTATTAGAGCACTGTTGGAGGGGAATAATCGTAATAAAATTAACATTTCTCCAAGGTTTTTTGGCACATTTGGGGAGAGAAGTATCGCTTTAGCGGACCCGGCAATTTAGGTATTACAGTAAATAATGTAGTTCATCAACACAAATAAAACTCTTTAAGTATGTTCAGGTCTGGTATTAGGATTTTTAGCCAAGTAAGAATGTAATGATGCGATTTTATAGAAACGTTTCAAGAGTTGTAACATCTTTGCCGTAAATTCCAATCTAGACACCAGTAATTTCAAGTTTGCGTAATCAAGTTTTGATGGCAGTCTTACACTATATTATCGTCATATTATTATATACCTATACTGGGGGGGGTGTCACGTCCGTCTATGTCCGCTTGTCTCATAGAATCCAAAAAGGACAGGACATAGGCGGACATAGACGGACATAGGCGGACATAGGCGGACATAGGCGGACATAGACGGACATAGGCGGACATAGGCGGACATTAATGGACACCTAAATTGCTAAATAAAATGTTCAATTTTTGCTGTTATAGGGGGATCATGTTTTTTGTCCGTTCGGTACCCTATATTTTCAAAACGGACAAAAAATAGAGCGGACAAAAACGGACAAAAATGGAAATAACATTTAGATGCTTCCTCCTCCTACTCTTCCTCCTCCTCCCCCTGGGTCTTCCTGATCTTCCTCAGTCCTCTTCCTCCTCCCCTCCTCAGTCCTCCTCCTACTCCTCCTCCTCGTCCTCAGTCCTCCTCATCAGTCCTCAACAGTCCTCCTCCTCCCCAGTCCTCCTCCTCCTCCTGAGTCCTCCTCCTGGGTCCTCCTCCTGGGTCCTCCTCCTCCTCTTCATCCTCCTCCTCTTCCTCCTCAGTCCTCAGTCCTCCTCCTCATCCTTCTCCTCATTCCTCCATCCTCCTCCTCAGTCCTCCCCCAGTCCCCCTCCTCCTCCTCCTATTCAGTCCTCCTCCTCCTCCTTCTCAGTCCTCCTCAGTCCTCCTCCTCCTCCTTCTCAGTCCTCCTCAGTCCTCCTCCTCCTCCTCCTCCTCTTCCCTCTCAGTCATCCTCCTCAGCCATCCTCCTCAGTCCTCCTCCTCCTGGGTCCTCCTCCTCCTCTTCATCCTCCTCCTCTTCCTCCTCGGTCCTCAGTCCTCCTCCCCCTGGGTCCTCCTCCTCATCCTTCTCATCAGTCCTCCTCCTCCCCAGTCCTCTCCCAGTCCCCCTCCTCCTCCTCCTCCTATTCAGTCCTCCTCCTCCTCCTCCTCAGTTCTCCTTAGTCCTCCTTCTCATTTCTCCTAAGTCCTCCTCCTGAGTCCTCCTCCTCTTCCTTCTGAGTCCTCCTCCTGAGTCCTCCTCCTCCTCCCTCTCAGTCATCCTCCTCAGTCATCCTCCTCAGCCATCCTCCTTAGCCATCCTCCTCAGTACTCCTCAGTCCTCCTCCTTCTCAGTCATCGTCAGTCCTCCTCCTCAGTCCTCCTCAGTCCTCCTCCTCCTGGGTCCTCCTCCTCCTCCTGGGTCCTCCAGCCTCCTGGGTCTTCCTGATCCTCCCCAGTCCTCTTCCTCCTCCCCTCCTCAGTCCTCCTCCTACTCTTCCTCCTCGTCCTCAGTCCTCATCATCAGTCCTCAACAGTTCTCCTCCTCCCCAGTCCTCCTCCTCCTCCTGGGGCCTTTTCCTGGGTCCTCCTCCTGGGGCCTTTTCCTGGGTCCTCCTCCTGGGTCCTCCTTCTCCTGCTCAGTCCTTC